CGCGAAGTGTGGAAGTGCAGGTCACAGCTGCAAGACTGTACCAGGGAAGTGTGCCAGAAGTGTTACATCTTGACAGTTGTTGTTGTTGTCCTCCGGGAGTTGCCAACATCCGCTGCGCACTGTAGCCACTGTAGACACTGCTGAGTTGCCCTGTTATTTGCAACGACAGCTCGTCTAGTCTTGGGTTGTCGGTTAGCTGTGATGAGCTTTACAACAAGGGTTTCTTCACCGTGTTGTTCTTGTTTCTGCTTGGACTTGCTGTCGAATAGGAAGTCCTTGTTGAGTTAACCCATCAAGTCTGATGAGTAACGTTTTGAACCTACGCTTGCTGACTGTGCATGGGCCTGTACATAAAACTGTTGCTCGTACCTCCATGCCAGTCAGCCTAATAAAGTTGTGTTTGGTTGGTTGTAGTTATTGGTGATGCTTTTCTATGGCTCTGATCACACACGAGATGCAATTTCCCCTGGACGCGTTGTTGGTTGTCATGAATCATTCGTGCCAAGTGGGTGACCAAAAAACTAACCTAACCTAACCCAAATTCAACCGAACCCAACCCCACCTCCCTGCCCGGCCGAACCTTGAGTGCTGAAAGCTCCGCTTGCCTGCCTGCCTGCCTGTCTGCTTGCCTGTCGCGTATGAGTGCTTTTCTGCGCGCGTCGTCGCACCCTTGTTCAAAGAAGCTGGACTCTCGGGCTATGCAAGACTTCTCCTAAGCGATTTAAGCGAGCGAGACACTACGTCGCTCCGCAAATCCTTCGAAGCCTTCGAGTGTCGCGAAGCCTCCTGCACTCGTGCTCATATTCGCAACCAAAACGCATTGCATGGAGTTCCCATGGCATTCGCAACCTCCACTGCGGGCCCGTCCCCATCCTTCCTCCGACCAACCCAAGATTCTGTTGACTTTGGTAAGCACTGCGCGAGTTTTGCATTCTTTCGTCTCCACTTCCCAGCCCCTAGACCCCCCGCCCGGCCTCCTCAACCTTTTCCATATCGCCCTCTTCCTCTCTCCTCCTCCCCCCCCCATCCTTCCCTTCCCTTCTTTCCCCCCCCCCTCTTTACCCACCCTCCTCCCTCCCTCCTTGCCTCCCCTCCTCTCTTCCTCCCTCGTTTTAATGTGTTCTGCTGTCACTGATGTGCGCTTCGAGGAGGTGCTTCTGAAATCGAGCGGCTAGATTGGGTTTATTGTGTTCTGCTGCCGCTGATGTGCCTCTCCAATTTGTGTATCCCCTGTCCCTGCCCCTTTCTCGAGATCACCCAGAGGGAATCAAGAAAGACGGTTGCTGCAGTCCAGTCGTGGATTCAGGATGGTTTGTTGAAGCTTGTTTGTTGCACAGACTCACAGCCAAGGTTGCATGCAGGAATGGACTGGCAAAGCTGGGGTGACGGAGTTCACAAACCACTTCTACCTTGTGGAACTGGAGCGCAAAAGCAGACCAGTGTCGCCCATGCCGTTGCGATGGACAACAAGCCACTTCCGTTGCTCCCCATCTTACCACCAGCCTACAGAGCGCCACAGCCACGGCACGAGGACGATGTTGTCATCCAGGGGCGGCAAAAGTGGGCCATGGCCAGATCAGGCGGTGAGTTCCTGCGGCCTGAGCTTCAGGCATCCTTTCCACCATTCACCGAGCACCTGAGACCACAGGTGCTGCAGGCATCACAGGCACTAAGCTCTCCTAGGTTCGGACACGGGCCGAAACGTTTTCCGGAGCCTTGCAACCCAGAACGGGCATGGGCATTAAACGAAACCGAGATCGATCCTGTTTCTGGCCTCGAAATGCTGGGAACCCAGCCGACAAGTCTGAGCAGCAAGTCCATGAGATGCTGTGAGTGTGAACGATCCTGACAGAAGTTCTGAGGCACGAGATCCCGCTGAATCAGCCTGGGTGGAAGCACGGGACGATGCAGAGCCAAGCAGAGATGGAGATGGCAGCTCCAACAGCTCCCGAGTTCTTGGAAGAGTTTGGCACCAGAGCAGAACACTTCCAGGAGTCTGCGATTCTGCTTGGACGACCTGGCAGTTTTGCCAAATGCTTGCTCACTTTGACAGGACCCTTTGCCGTCACAAGATGCCACGTCTGTACCCAGGCGCTGCAACCGCAGGACACTCCCCCAGCTGCATTTGAGCACGTTTTAAGTTGTTCAGGTGGTTGGAACGTGGGAGACCAATGCCTGCAGCCCAACCACGGCTGCATGATCAGATCCTACGTTCCGTGCCGTGGCGAAACTTTCGGAATAGCATGCCTTGATTATCAAAACGCTTCATGACGGAATGCCTTTGGGGAGGTGGTTTCCGACTTGGACAAGTTTGAGATGGCACATCCAGAAGTGCAGGATCCGGGGAAGCGCCGATGAACCATTGTACCCGTAGCTCATAAGCTGAAACGCGCACAGTTTCGTGATTCGCAGTCTCAGTCTGAGTGCGACCGGAAGGCTTTGGAATCTCCAAGGAGTGACGCTGAACTTGTCGCGGTAGGATGAACACACAGGCAACACTGCCAAAGGTAACAACTTCAGAGACAGTCTACGCCGAGTAAGATGTTTGCAAGGATTTTCACGTCTCACTGCCGGGCCGAAATCTGGCCGCAGCACGGAGACAGGAGCCTGTGCCTGCAAAGAAGACGAGCGCAGGAACAAAGCCAACACCCGTCAGCAACTCACGCTCACACAGCGCGGTTTACACGTCCGCTCGCTCTGAGAACGCTGTGGAAGCGCAGCTTCTCCGCGGGCTCAAAGTATGATTCGAGAGCCTTGCCCCTGAAGTTCGCCAGGGGGTCAATGGCTGAAGAGGAGGAGCTGGAACTTGGGGGGAGCTGTAATCGCTTATCGTTTTTCCTTGGACTCGCGGAATGCCTCAGGATCGCACCTCGCAGTTGATCGTTGGGATCTTCAAGCTCGTGGCCAAGGAGACAACAGCACAGAACAGCTAATATGGTGGCGGCAACCATAACAACCTGCTTCATCCGCAGCTTTGACCATTCCAAGCCTGGCCCGACGGCATCAGCTGATAGGCACCTGAGCAGATGGCCAGAGAGTTAGCATGCGATGCAGTTCGCACCGGCGCAATTCAAGGCCCCATCTGCATGGCACATTCCCGACTCTCAGATAGTCTGATCATCCCAGCCCCTAAAAGCCCCTAGTTCAAAGACCCTTCGCTGCAGAGCCGTTTCTGCATGGTTCGGGTAACGTGTCGCTGGCATCCATGGAGGCCTCTCGATGTCCCGCATTCCTGTGGTGGTATAAATAATATTAAATAATATGAAGCTTTACCGATGTCGCTTGGAGGCCGGGTCCACCAATGCTTGGCTCACGGTCTGGTGCTCGCTCGACGCGCTCATTCTGCCTGTGTCATGTTCGAACCTTCAGGGAAGTCGGGTTCTCGCAAGACCCGTGCTCAGTCTGCGGCTTGGGAGTATGAAATCCCGATACATGTCCGTGCTGAGAGCTATGGACTGACGTCACTTCTTCCGACCCTCACACTCAGAATCTGGCGGGGTTGTTTCACATGCGCCGCTGGCTGCTCACATCGCCGGAGGCAATGCCTGCCTATCATGCCTCTATCTGTCGCCAGTGCATTTGGTCATCCTCTCCTGGCGCCAGGCCATCCGAGGGCGTGCCCCCTCGAAGTTGCGAGGCTGCTTGGTGTGCATGGTGTGCACATAGGCGTGAGCTTGTGCAAACACTTGAGTCACTTGAGAGCTTCCCGTCTGCTGTTCTTGTCGCGGAACGCCCCTACCCCGGTGTGCACAGAAGCGATTTCCGACGCCTGCCAGTAGCTGCAAGCCCGCCAGGCCGGTACAGGTCACTCGGTCGTGTTCACAGCCGCCGCCTTCGAGGCACCCTCGCAGCATTGCTCTGCGGCAGGTGTTGTTCTTGCCATGCTGAGCTTCTCGCAATAAGGTACATGCAAGCCTGGTTCTCAGACATCGTGAAAACGGGTGTGCTTCGTTGTCAGAGCGGAACGACGTCAGGCGATGCCTGCATCCACACAGCACCAGCGCTTCATCACCTTGGACCTGCGAGATGCACGGCGTGCAGGCGACGGCCGTGCCCTTCCGCGTGAGCTCGGCAAAACTCCTGTGCGCACCATCTGATGGTTGGTGTTCGAGTATAGGCCTTGGGCTCAAGGCTCATAAGCGCCAGGGCCAGGGTTTAGAGTGTGAGGTGAGGGCCGGTCCTAAATTCGTGCCCCTTCGCAACCTGGACACGTGTGATTGCTCAGCCAGCAGCAGACACCTCATGGTCTTGTGCCATGTTTCCCGAGGTTGCAGATTGCTGGTGGCCCGGACCTGTTCTCAGCTGAGGCGCCGATATGTGGTTCCCGCTTTCACGCGCTCCTTCACGAGCGCTTCAAGCAGCAGACTTGAAGTGGTTGAAGTGGACAGTTGCGTCCTGCGCTGGGCCGAGCAGACACCGACCTCCGTGACCCTACGGGATCTCTGCGAGATTGGCTTAGATAGCCGCCGCCGTCGCGAGCATGGCATCTTCCTTCACCGAGAGCTTCGGATCCGCCTGGCGCAGAGGATACTAGAGCTGACATCACTGCCGTACCGTTTGGGAGCGCGACGGGGTATCCGGGACGTGATCGAGTGGTATACTCACTTCATGCACCTGCTGGAGGACTCGCCCAGCCCAGCCACAGAGGAACTGGACGAGGAGTTTACAAATTTGCTGACCCGCATCTTCGAGGAGCACTCAGAAGTGATCCAAGCGATGGCCTTTGGGGTTCAAGATTTGATTTACGAGCTTCAAGAGGATTACGCTCAGGTGCAGGCGGAGGTCGATGGAATCCTACGCCGTTTCTTCACTGCTCGCATTGGAATGCGTTTCCTGATTCAACACCATATCGAGTCCTTCAGGAATCGTGAGGGCCACTCTGGGATCCTGCAGATTGAATGCGATCCCTCCATTATCGCGCAGAAGGCAGCCAAAGACAGCTCCATGCTGTGCAGGGCCCACAAAGGGCAAGCCCCACCCATCAAGATCCACCACACGAACCCAAGCACATTCACTTATGTGCCGATGCACTTGCATTACATGCTCGTGGAGGTGTTCAAAAACTCCTGCCGTGCCGTGGTCGAGCGCCATGCCGATGGTTTCGACGACCTTTTGCCGGCGATCCACTGCCACATTGTCCACGGCAATGAAGATGTGACGATTCGCGTCAGCGACGAGGGCGGTGGCATCTCCCGAGCACACCTTCCCAATATCTGGAAGTTCATGTACACCACTTCCAAAAAGTCGCCGTGGGCTGCGGCTAGGAAGGAAGAGGAATTCCAGACAAAGCCCGGGGATTCGGCCAGCAATCCGCTGCAGCGTCCGAAACAGGGCGGCGTGCTTGCAGGGTTCGGCGTGGGCCTCACGCTGGGACGCCTTTATGCGAAATACTTCGGGGGAGACCTGAAGATACTGTCGCTGGATGGTTTCGGAACCGATGTGTTCCTGCATCTCAACCGGTTGGGCACCGCGTGTGAAGACCTTCCACAGAACGTTCTCTACAGCCCATCGATGCGAGACTCATCAGCACTGGAAGAGGCAGCACAGGAGACCCTTCTCATCTCAGCTGATGAGGAGGCTTTTCTGCGACGAGAGCTGCAAGCCTTCCGCCGGAGAGACGAGCCGCCTGATGCTCTCAAGAAAAAGGCGAATTGCTTTGCTTGGACCCGGCAATCACCCCTGGCCGTTCTTCATTTCAGCAGCCTCAAGGGCAGGGTGTGCCTATGGGGCAGGGAGGGGCGAGAGCAAATCCCATACCTTGTAGATAGAAGAAGAAGAGAGACAGAGGGAGAGAGAAAAAAGAGTTACCTCTTGCTGCCGACGCCCCCAAAGCCCCACACAACATGGGGGGCCCTAAGGGCAGGGGGGACTAACATGCCCCTCTAACCCGAAGGAAGAAGAGAGAGAAAAAAAAGCAAAACAAAGAGAGAGAAGAGAGAAAGAGCGAGAAAGAGAGAGAGAGAGAGAGTCAGTCGGGCAAGGGGGGAAACCCTCTTGCCCATAACCCTGCCGAAAGAAAAGAGTCAGTCGCACTTGGACCCAACCCCAGCGGCGGAAGTGGAAGCGGAAGTCAGTCTGAGAGAGAGAGACACACACACACACACTCACTCACCCGCTGACACTTATGTAGAACATCCGAGCATCATGCATGGCAGGTTCCGTCGTCCAAGCGCGCAGCCAGTCTCCGCAACGGCTGGCACCGCATGTGCCAGTGGCAGAAGCTCGGACAAGGCACCCAGTCAGCGAGCATGCGACTTTCTGGGACGAGAAGCCGTGGAGGTGCATGCGGCAGCTGAGCATCATCAGAGAAGCTCTCAAGAGGTGGCCTTCAGAATCCACCGATTCTAGCCAGTTCTAGCTTTGAGCCTGGTGTGGAAAGTCCTGGCACGAAGAGGCGCATGCCTCTTGGATCCAAGGAGATGGCTCTGCAAGAGGCAGTGGATTTTGTGCGGCGTTCCTCCTCGAACGATGGTGAACATTGGACCCCCAAGGACCAATTTTCCCTGCACTGCCTCTTCGGGAGCAAGCTTGTTGTGTGCAGGAGCTACGGTGCTTTGGCTTGCGAATGCTGGCAACACATGGCCTGGAAGCCGTCAGCTGGCCAGCAGGCTTCGGCACGCTTTGGTCTCCTAGTCTGCACGTGAGTTAGACGGTGTCAAGTTTTTCTTCAGGCGACTGGCTGGCCATGCTGCGCAAGGCTTGCAATGACATGGTAGCACCAGAAGCTCAGCCTCAAAAGCAAGTTTTTGGATGCGACCCGCAAGTTGCGCGACTACGACATGCAGCTCAAGCGTTCAAAGGTGAAAGATGAACGGACCTGTAGGTGAGTCAGTATCTGTTTGTAGCCATCGCTTTGTCATTGAACTCGCAAAGGCTACTGCTTCAGCGATCAAACCTCTGTCTAGTGCCGGTCTCGGCGTGATCGCTCCTCTGTAGTCCGGCATGTGCGCTGTGCTTTGCTTATCAGACAGCTACCGGTTAAGGGGACGCGGCGGTTCGATTGGGCGAAGCAGCATTCCAGCGCTTGGCTGTGCAGTTGGAAGTAGAGTTGGCAGAGCCACTGCCCGCCAAGGCAAGGAGATCTCAGCATCACAATTGCCAGGGTACATGGGGTGTGGGTTGATTGGCACTCGCACAGGTCAAAAGGGTCGTTCCAGCACGCCCGGCAGTGACTGCACGGCGGAGCGTAGGCCTCGAAGTTGCAAGTTTGAATTCAAGATAAAAGCTGTAGACCGCTGGTCTGACCCCACGTCCAGGCTCCGAGAGTACCATGGCCTCAAGCGTGTCCCCTGGCCCGAGCTCTGGCCTCGGACTTCGATCTCTCGCCTCAATCATGGTTTCTTTCGTTCCCATGTGAGGCAGCATCTCCGCCAGCAGCGGGACGCGGGAGCGGCACACGGCTTCTGGTCCATACATCCAGAGACCTGGACCGCATTACATTTTTCTGGTGTGCTCTGCGCTTGCTGCGTTCTGAGCTGCACCGTGCTTAAGGGACTCTCGGTTGATGCAAACGCCTTTGCATCTGGGACAGCCCTGGACGGTGACGCCGCGCCGTTTGAAAGCCAGCCCCGGCCAGCTCCCGCGGCCCTGCAATGGTCTCGCCGCTTGCTTTTTGAGCTTCCAAAAACAGCACGAAGAGCTTTGATAATTATGGGCCCTTCACGACCTATGGGACCAGTGGGAGCAAACCAACAAAGTACTGTTACTAGAACTCACGACTCATCCTCCTGTTAACTGTCCCCACTCTTTCCTCTTGGCGGTTCCGGGTCTTATGGCTTGTGCTTTCCCACTGAGTCGTGTAGCAAATATTGGCAAGTGCTCGGGGCAGAGGGCCTCCACCATATACAGCTTGGCCAGGTTGAATGGATGCAACTGGCCGCGGCCGATCTATAAGAGAGACTCTAGATTCAGAGAGGCACAAGAAGAAGGCATGTCATGGCATGTCTTGACTCCGATGTCAGGTGAACAGGAATGGCGCTGGCGGAATCTGGACCCCTGCAGCGACAACTGTGCAGGCAGCTGGCTTGAGCCGAAACCTCAAAGGTTTGAGCTGCGGAGTACAGCTTCCGTCAACTCTCGGGGTTGAAGTAAGGTCTGGAGGAGGAGTTCGCTCAGCTGCGGCATGACATGGCTGCGGAAAGGGCCGAACGCCAGGCCTTGGCCAGTCTTGTGGAGACCTTGCTCCAGGACTGACAAGTCGCTGTCTGCCCATCCACGTTGATACCTCCTGTCATGTGCAGGAAAGGCAGCCACCTCGCCGGCGCTGCAGCGTTGCAAGCCAGGGAAACACTGTTGCAAGATCTTTACATTGAAAGGGTTACGAGGTGCACTCTCTGGAGGCATACCCCAGAGTTGGATTCGACAGTGAGACCGGGATTCAACAGGTATGTCTCAGTGGCGAACTGTGTCAAGAATCACATTGATGCACCAAGGAGCACACGATGGCTACGCACAAGAAGCGGCCCAAGAATGGATGCCAAACTTCGGATCCTTGATGGGGCAGGACTTCTGGAGCTAGCTGTTCGTGTGACATCCTTTGAATGACCTTTACAGGAGTGGGGCCAGTATCGGCAGTATATCATCAAGGAAGAGGAGGCTCAGACCGCGGATATCGACACTTTGGAGATGGGCCGGCCCTCTCCGTCAAGTCCCTCCAGTGCATTGCCTACGACAACCTTGGACCTGCCTCCCCCACCTGCCAACAGAACGGATCTGAAGCTGTTTACGCAGGCTCAGGCAACTGAAGTTCATGACAAAGTCCTTGCAGACACTCGAGCAGCGCTCGACCACCTGGAGAAGCAGCTGTGCTTGTCGGTGTCCCCTCAGACTACGTCGGCACCTGTCACGACCTCGGGATCACCGGGCTTCAACTTGGAAGATGGGGACAGACGTGAGTTGGACCTGCATAACTCGGACAGGTTGTCTGCGAAATTCATACATCACGCATGGTCACACGTGTCTGTCTGCATGCCTGCATGGCTGCATAGTTGGCTGACTGGATGGATAGATGCACGCATGTGTGCATGCATGCATGCATG